ACCCTGGGCCTTGATTTCATTTTAACCTTACCTCACCCTTGTTAGGATGTGGGGACCAGTGAACAGTCTGTAGCTCATACTGCCCTCCTGAGTCCTAGACACTAAAATCTCCAAGGGTGGCTCTTTGAGAATCAGATGACAGCTCTAGACACTTTTCCCTAGAAAAATAAACATACGCAAAATCCGGTGTGCAACTTCAGGGTACTCAGATTCCTTGAGGATCCCCAGGAACCTGTGATCATAATCAGTATATCTTTTAAAAGTTTGTGATACATTTTTTCAGCTGTCTGAAAACAGTTGTGTAATTGATAATGCAATACTTTTGGGAATGTAATCCTAGAAACTGTAGAATTCCAAATAAGCCTTTAGTGATTTGACTCTAGTGTTAAGTAAAGTCCAATTCTAACCATAGTACGGAAACATTTCCTATTTTTCCAACAAATAGTTCTTTCTTCTTGAACATTTTATCATTTCTTATTATTTGATGAAGTGAATCAGTTTCCCAGGTTCTAGTGACTTACGTATTTATGCCTGGTTGGAATCACTTTTATTCCAGGATGTTAGATTTTGCAACCTTTGACAGTGATTTATTTCTCCCTCCAGCCGTTGTGTATGTGGCAGCTAAGAAGAATGAAGTTTCCTGTGGTGACACTCTGAGTCTTTGTTGAGTTGAATTGAAATGAATGATGAGCTGCTTTCCCACCAGCAGGCTGTCACCTCGTGACAACTTCAGTGGAAGAGACATTATATATAGATAGATGGTAATCTTCCAAATGAACAGATGCCTTCTGGGGTCATTAGCAAGAGGGATTTTTCCATCCACGTGGAAGAGAGTTCCACTGTCATCCAGTCATTCTGTAGCTGAGATCATGTTAAGACATACTCCATGGCTGGCTGTTGTTCACGCCTGTAATCCCAGCACTCTGGGAGGTCGAGGTGGGAAGATCACTTGAGGTCAGGAGTTTGAGACCAGCCTGAGGAAGAGCAAGACTGTACTAAAAATAGAAAAAATTACTGGACGTGGTCGTGTGTGCCTATAGTCCCAGCTACTCAGGAGGCTAAGGCAGGAGGATTGCTTGAGCCCAGGAGTTTGAGGTTGCTGTGAGCTAGTCTGACGTCATGGCACTCTAGCCCGGGCAACAGAGCAAGACTATGTCTCAAAAAAAAAAATGACATACTCGAGGGGACTATAATTAGATTAAAATTTGGTTGTATTGAGTATTGCTTGAAGTAAAGCAGTCTGTGGTTGAGGTTTGTAATGTATGAACTTGGGTTTATCTGCTCACTGAGTAGCTGCTGCTTGCCAGGGCTTTAGAAGTCGAACATGACCTGTATCCTTGTTCCCAGAGATTATTTTTTGGTCATTCATTGTGAATGGTTAGTTTTTTGTTTTTTTTTTTTTTTAACAATAAAGACTGGGTTTAACTAAAATACCACCTTCTAAAAACGTCAAAATAATTGAGTTTCACCAGTTTTGTTGTATGTCATCTTACTGGGTATATTCTGTATTAATCAGATTTCCAAGTAAGTCACTGGTCCTTGTAGAAAAGGAAAATAGCAAATGTTTTTACTCAGTGTTAACAGATTACAGTAGAAACAGTGTGGCAGTCTTTCCTTTGCAACCCTTCCATTAAGTCATCAATAATATCAACATCATTTAGATAAAAAGAATTTCAATATCATTTCCGTGTGTAGACTTTTGAAAGTAGTCCAACAGTAAGAGGCATCATGTGAAGAATATTTTACTGTCAACATTAAGTATATGGTGATGGAAACGTGAAAATCAAAGAGGGTGTCAGAAAGTTCAGTGAAAGTAGAAATTCTTCACCTTGGCATCTTGACCTTTGAATCAAGGGTTGAAGGCAGTACAATATTTTAGAGAAAATGCTATCAGGGTGTTAAAATACTGACTTAAAATGGAACTTGTGTAAAACAAGTTTGAAGGTGAATAACAAGACATAGTGACAGACTGCCAAATTTAACGTGAAAGTTTTATTTTGACAAAAATCTGATTTGTAGCATCTTTTTTTTTCTTTTTAAGAAAATTTTTTGTTTAATCTTTGAACATTTTGGAGAATTTGGTTTGAGTGTTGCATTTTGTCAGGTAAACAAAGTTGGATGTGATGGCTGATTTTACTTCGTGAGTCGCTCTTCTGTGTTTCAGGGTAATTTTTCCAAAGATGATGATAGATATGAATCAGTTAATTGTTTACGAGGTGGTGGAGCGTAATGCTGAAGCTTGGTCATACTAGATTTAATAGTTCTGGTGCTGGTCACAGGCGTGTCCACTTTAAGTTCCTATATCTAATGCACTTGTACACGCACGCACACACGCTGGATGCTCAGTCCTTACGTGAAACTTGGAGACGCAGAGGGGAGAGCCGCCGTGGCCTGCGAGGTTCTCTTCATGCTCTGAGCCTCGCCCGTCTTTCCAACTTCATCTCCACAACATCCTCCCAGGAATATTCACCATAGCACACTCCTGGCAGTTCCAGAAAGTGCTCTGCATCATGCTTCCTTCTTACCTCTCCACCTGGAATATCGTCCTCTACTCCACAGCTGACCACCTCCTATCGCTCTACCAAGAGGCCTTTCTCAACTCCCCAGCCTGAACTGGTGTCCCTGTCTGTCCTTCATTGACATCTTGTCTACACCCACACGTCAGTCGTGCTAGCTTTTACCCATTTTACCTGTGTGCCTTCTAACCGACCGTCCGGCTCTCAGGCTCCAGTTGCCGTTGCTGAGTGCCCTGTGCATATAGGCGCTCGGTGTGTGTTGGTTTGTTGGATGTGAGGGTGGAAGATGTCATTTTGTGGGGAGAATGTGAAGGGCTTCCTTGCCTCGGATTGGCTTCCTGCACTGAGTGTATCTTGGGTACTCCATTCCCTTTCCACGTGGGCAGCTGTTGAACATTGGCCCCAGACACTGTTACTTTGGATAATGCCCGAAGTATAAAGGACTTAGGACACAGGCGCAATGTCACTACCTCTTTTGGGAATGAAGGCCATAAAGCTGACAGGCACCGTTCTGGCCTTGCCATTGCCTGCGTGTTGCTGTGCCTGTTATCCATCTACTGCTTCATGGCTGCAGTCTACCCCTCAGCCTTGGCCGGGCCTGGTCCGTGGTTCTCCTTTACCACTAGACCTTGGGAAGCCATGTTTATAGAGGGCGCTGGAGGAGAAGGGGGTTTGCTTTCCTGGTCCCTGTGTGCACTGCAGAGTATTTGGATCTTGTTGGCAGTACCCCCCAGACCCAGATGGGAGGTGGGGACAGCAGGGCAGCACCTCCTCATGACGGGCTTCTCCAGCATACACCCACCTCTCAGGCAGTTTCCACGCTGCATGGAGTAGCAGGTCAGCAGCAGCTCAGCGGATGGTTCTTTACACACTAGCCACCACCCGGTTTAACCCAGAAAACTTCTCCACCGTCCAGTGGGTTTCAAGTACACCCTCTCCAACAGTCTCATCCCAGCCTTGGGGAGGGGTTCTCTTTCCATGCCTATTCCTACCGTGGATAGCTGCCCTCAACATGAGAGTGCATCAGAGCTCCCTTTTCTCCCTATCAGTCAATTCCCCATTCTGTAATCCCGTTAATAATTAATTATTAAACTTTATTGAAATTACTGTGTGGCTTCTGTGTCCTGATTGGAACCTAACCAGGGCATTGCCCTCCCTCTAGGTGGGCAGCTCCACTTCCCCACCGAATGAACCATACAGGTTCTTCAGGGGCAGCCTAGATGGCCCCTCAGTCATTTCCTCCAGAGATGCCTGAGTTCCTACCATTACATAGGCACTGGGCCCCACCCTTGGGGAAGCGCAACAGGGCTGCAGCCCTACAGGAGCTCCAGCACTGTAAGAAGACAAGTGGCAGTTAGAGGGTGTGTGTCTGTGTGAGGCTGGAAGAGTGGAGTGTGATAAAAACTTAGAAACTTAAGACAATCTTAGTGCCATCCCTTCAGGAGCCAAAGGGACCAATAAATGGAAATTCGTGAAATTGAGGTATACTGCTTTACGTCTAAATGATGTCCGTAACAGAAAACAAAGTGTGGTTTTGTCTGTGAGTATATTTTCTTTTTCCACAAATCATTTGAAGTATGAAGGATTTAGGACACAGGCACAATGTCACTACCTCTTTCTGGAATGAAGCCGAGAAGCTGACAGGCACGGTTCTGGCCTGTCGCCATCACCCTGAGGCTTTATTTCCTCTTCTCATCTCTGAACTCCTAAGGGGGCAGAAACTGTCTTTGATCTTAATTGTCTTATACCCACAATGCCTTCCACATAGTAGGTGCATAATAAATGTTAGTTAATGAATAGAAGGTAATTGAGTTGACATTTTGTGTTTTTTTTCCTACTCTAAGAAAGCAAAAATCAGCCAATGTTTTCTCCTGTTGATTGTTCATAAAAAATTATAAACAATTGTTTTTGTATTTGAATTGTAAACAAGGAGGTTATCAATTTAGTGCTTGTTCTTGTTTGTTCCTCTCCCACCATTTTCAAACAATAGGTACCATTTCAGGTGTGCGCCGCACAGTGTTAGGTATTTTGTAGCCCTCTATTCTCAGATGTGGGCACTGAGGTTAAGTGACTTACCCAGGGCTATGCTGATAAAATGTGGCTGAGCCAGGCTCTAAGTCCAAGTTGATACCCAAATCCTCGCGTTTTCCACTGCAGGACTCAGGGCTCGCCCCGAGCAGTTCCTGAAGTCGGTCAGGTGCGTGAGGACACACTCACCTAGGAGTCTTTTTCCTCTTCAGAGCTACCACCATCTCCTTACACAGCCCTGCAGGCACATGTGGACAGAGTTAGGAAGACTCAGAGAGGACTCAAAGTCTCTTCATTTGCTTCTTAAAGGAGTCAAAAAGTCAGTCATGGAAGTTTATGCACTTGCTGGAAAATTGAACTTGGTACAATTATAGAAAACATTTAATTGAAAGTTAAACCTCAGGGGAACGCACGTCCACTTTTAAACACTAACTCGTCTTCCTTTTTTCTTCTCAGGTGCTGTTACCGCCGTATGATGACGCCACTGTGACTGGCGCTGCCAAGGAGCCGCCGCCACCTTACGTGTCTGCCTGAGTCTGAGAGTGGAAGGACAGGGCTGAGAGCAGCAGCTCCACTTTTCGGCTGTCTGAGCAATAGTTCTGTTATTTCACTTTTGAGATGAGCTCTCTGAGCTTATTTGTTCCTGAAATGCTACGTTTTAAAATTTAGATGTTAATTTGAAACCTTCTGTAGTTTTAAACATGCTTTAGCTGGAACACTGTGGTAGATTAGCTGTAGAATTCTTTGTCAGGGTGGGAGTGTAACGGGCTTCACTAGTCTTCCCTGGGCATTGGAACTTCCCTAGAATCGAGGTGGACCTTGAGTCAGAGAAGTCTGCTTTTGGACCTGCTGGGCCCCAAATTGGGCAGTGAGTCGTACTTTTTCTCTCTGTTCCCTCTTTCTCTTTTGAAAGTGTAAAATAAAATCAAAATTAGACAGTGCTTTTCTTAAACCATTCCGGTTTAAGAACAAGCCCTTATGAAAACAGGAATGTTAATTGTGTAATCATTGCTGTAATTAAGCTAATAGGAGTCCTTATATATATGTTACAAAAATTTCCTTAACATTCTTTAGGACTTAAATTCAATGACAATTTGAATTTGCCAGTCAAGGATTTTCTCTGTGGGCTGAATTAAGACCATTAGACAGTCCCAGGCAGTGAGAGCAGTGACTGACTGTGACTGTTCTTGGACATCCAGAGCCTGGGCCACAGGGCTGTGTGTCTCATCTGTGTTAGGGGGTAGGACTGACTTTTTTGGCACTGCAAGGGGTCTGGTGCTCCTTTTCTTCTGGTTTGCCATCCCCACCCAGGGCCCCTCTTACTAAGTGTTCTGCCTAGCCCAATTCGAGCAGGACATCCAACTTACTTTTATCAAGGGGAGTTGGGATGTATTTGATAAATATTTGCCTAAAATGAAAAAAGGTTTTTTTCTTTCCCTGCGAGGTCCATCCTGTTGCTTTGAACTTCCATGTATGCCTAGTCACCTTTTAAAATGTAAAACAGCTTTCAGAAAAAGGATTGCTTTCCTTGTATGCTCTTGACTTACCTGAACTGCAAGGGATTTTTATATATTCACATGTTCAAAAGTTAGCAACTCTTCTGTTGGTTCATTAGTGAATGTGCTGTAAATGAAGCGTTTAGCAATTAAAGTGAGATTTGACCACATCTAAGAAGATTATCTTTGGACTCTGGTGATTGTGCCTAAGGACCCTTCCCACCCACCTACTTTTACAAAATGGCATTTTTGAAAAAATATGTCAGCGCTGATAAGTCAGAGCCTCCTAGGCCAAGAGGAACGGGACAAACAGACCTGAGCCAGCCCTCACCCCTCCCACATTCCACGTGCTCACCTGTAGTGCATGTCATTACTTCATGCCCATAGTGGGCTTTTAATGAGCAGTTAATATTTTACTATGTTCTGAGGGAAATTTAAAGAAGTGTGTGGGGGGATTTTTATCTCTGAGAACCAGCCTCAGCTATTCCTTTTGGTAGTTCTATTTCTCATCAGCATTCTTTTTTTTTTTTTTTTTTTTTTTTTTTTTTGAGACAGAGTTTCACTCTGTTGCCCGGGCTAGAGTGAGTGCCGTGGCGTCATCCTAGCTCACCTCAACCTCAAACTCCTGGGCTCAAGTGATCCTCCTGCCTCAGCCTCCCGAGTAGCTGGGACTACAGGCATGAGCCACCATGCCTGGCTAGTTTTTTCTATATGTATATTTTTAGTTGTCCAGATCATTTCTTTCTATTTTTAGTAGAGACGGGGTCTCGCTCTTGCTCAGGTTGGTCTCGAACTCCTGACCTTGAGCGATCCACCCACCTCGGTCTCCCAGAGTGCTAGGATTACAGGCTTGAGCCACCGCGCCCGGCCCTCATCAGCATTCTTTATAAACTTAACCTAAGGAGTTCTGTTCCTTGAAGCTTTATGTCCATAAGATTCACACAACGTTAATCACATTAGGGGTTATTAGGAATGGTTTGTCAGATAAGTTTCACAATTCCTGTGTGATGGACATAGGAAGTCACAGTTACTTGCTTGTTGCTACCCATGATTTTCTAGCTCTTTGCCTAATGTTTTTTGCAGTATGAAAAATGGTGCATGGTTAGATGGAGAGAAGTGCTGATTTTGAGAGTCCAGGTAGGGTCCCTGGAGAGGAACCAAGACTGCTGCTGTTGCTCATGCAGCGCTCAAATAGCACCATAGACACTGGGGTGTTTCTTCATCCTCAGAGAATCCCATGTGGTGCTGGTGATGCTGGCTTTTCCTGACCTGTAGCATAACCCAGGCTAAGCCATATTTACCTCTACAGGGTGCGGAACTGTCCTCTTGTCTCCATTATGGGGAGGTTGTGATGTTGGATTAAAGTAACCTTGCAGAGCACATTACATGCCTCAGCAGTTCATACATCTATTCATCTCATAGCTAATCCAGATAAATACCTTTTTTTAAAATCCCATTTGGAGACCGGGTGTGGTGGCTCATGCCTGTAATCCTAGCACTCTGCGAGGTCGAGGCAGGAGGATTGCTTGAGCTAAGGAGCTGGAGACCAGCCTGAGCAAGAGCGAGACCCCGTTTCTACAATAAATAGAAAAATTAGCTGGGCATGGTGGTACGTGCACATATTCCCAAGCTACTCAGGAGGCTGAGGCAGGAGGATTCCCTGAGGCTGAGCCTAGGAGTTTGAGGTTGCAGTGAGGTGTGATGATGCCACTGTGCTCTAGCCTGGGTGACAGAGCAAGACCCCGTTTCAGAAAAAGATAACAATCCCTTTGGATATCCATTCCCTGTTTCCTATTTTCCTGTTCACGGAGAAACAAGAGCAGTCATTCCCTCAGTTTTTCTCGTGCCTGCATACTTCTTGTCACTTTACTGGTGGGATTTTTCCATCTCGGGCCCAAGCTCTTATTTTAAGGTCATGGACATTGAGCCCAGCACCACAAGGTTTGCAGATTGACCCACATAAGTGGCCCATGTAGGACAGAGAATTTTGAGTCTTTTCTGGAGTAAAAGGAAGGGAAAACCCCTTTGGCTTAGACTGTGGGCTGTCCACCCTAGAAACAGCTTCTGTTGAACAAGCTAGTCAGATTTCCAGAAAGCCAAGTTACATAGAAGAGACTTAAGGCCAGTAGGCCTCTCCTTCCTGCAGCTTCTTCCTACATGAGTATTCTGTACAGCATTTCCCCCAAGTCTTATGACCTCGTCCCTGCCCCTCCCTATGCTATTGTCCCCAAGAATGCAGGAATCCCCCCATTCTGTCCGCCCCTCTTTTTATACATTAGTTTGTCTGCTTAACCAAACCACATCTCCTTCCATTTGTCTTTCCTCTGTACCCTCACCTCATTAATCCACGATACTTCTTAGTAACGATCTCAATAGATCATCTTTATACACTGTAACCTTTAAAGTTGTTTTCTCCGTAGACGGATGTATTGTATTTGAAATAATCCTCATTTGAGAAAAAATCCTGCTGTGCAAACTGAGCTTTTGGAAGAGAGGAAAACTAATGAGACTATCAAAACATCTATTTCCCTTTCGTTTTTAGAGATGTGTTAGTTTTTGCAGCAATCTGGAAACTGACTTAAATATCATTAAATTGTATTGTTGCTGGTCATGTAGGCAGTCTCAAGTTCTGGAAGGGGGAGGGCAGGTGTCGTTGCCAAGGTATTGAATGAACAATCATGCAGAAGAACTGCCAGCATGAAGTGCAGGCTGATCCTTTTGAGGGCTCCCCCTTCAGAACTAACAAGCACCAAAAATAGTGCCTGTAGCTATGTAAAAGGGGTTGGCAGCTCAGATACATGTTTTAAAGGGAAGGAAAAAGGAGGCAATTACAAGGATGTGTCCACACCCATGGAATTCACTTAAAGTGTTTCTGCACACTGGCCAAGTTTTCTGCTCATAGTATATGGAAACCAGCCAGATCTGCAACCCTCTGCCCAGAAGCCCACACGTGCCTTCTGCTGACTACAGAACCAAGACAGCATAAGAGAAGCTGTCGCTTGGCCAACCCAGAAAATGTTACAGCAAACAAGTCTTAGCACTATATAGCCATCAGTATGACCCTGATTAGCAAAAACTGCAGGATGAGGAGATTGGCTTAAAACAGCACAATGGACTTAAGTTTTGTTTTATTCCATCTAAAGTTCAGATATGCTTTCAAGGTCATTAATGGTATAAACACAGTTTTTATCATTAAGCGGGAAACCTCAGACCCAGCAAATAAAATTACTGATTCTTTGAGGTATGTCAGGGTGTCCAGGGTCTATTGCTCCAATAGAGCAAAGACAGTTTTGAAAGGAATTGTGTGGCCCGGGGCAGGTTGGGCGTATTTCCCCAGCTTTTCTCTCCGGAAAGGCTGGAATTGAGTGTCATCAACCTAGCTGCTACTTGCTAGTCACAGGCCTGGGGCTGTGGTGTCTCAGCGCCCACCATACCTACTCACAACTTAAAAAGTTGTATCCAATGACATGTTCCAATTCTTGGGATTCTAGATTCAGGACTTCAGGCCTTCTGAAGAGCAGATGAGGCTTCCACCTATGGTATCTCTGCCTCAAGAAAACCCTGGCTCTGGAGAGACAGGCAACAGTGGGTCTGTTCTCTCTGACCAGCAACGGCACAAAGGACCCTAGTGTCCTATGGTAGGGACCATCTTTGGACCCAATGTGGCCTTCGTGTGATGTTCATTTTATTCATTTTAACTAAAGGAATGTATTTTAAATTACTCTCTACTTTCGCAAATTTTCCTTTAGTTTTTAACTATAGGTCTTTATTTTTCCTGCTTTTATTTCTCTTCCATAAATAATGACAGCTCTAATCCTGCTTTTATCAGTGCTTTCTAGTCTTTTCTATCTTGACGACCTATTGACATCTCATATTCATTGTGCTCAAAATGGAAAATGTCCTCCCTTTCCCCCAAATCCCCTGTTGTTTCCTCCCCATCATTGCAGCCTTCCTGACTTAAAGTCATAGGTCCTTTTTGCCTGCCCCTCTTTTTTTCCCTGTGCCTTCTACCTTTTCACGAGGTAGGATGACATTTACCATTTACTGAGCCCGGCCTGTGTCCCAGACATGCTGTAAGCGCTTCATGCATGTTAATAACTCTTTATCCCCATTTTACAGGTGAGGAAGCTGAGGCTTTTAGAGGGAAGTCACATAGTAAGTGGCAGAGCCAGGACTTAAATGCAGATTGAATCAAAATGGGTGATACATATCTTTGAGACATCTAGAATTTCAGAATTCTGTACGTATAGCTTCTCACTTCTAAGGATAGTCAATTTCTAGTAATTGAATTAATTCATCCCAAGAAGGAAAGCAAGTCATGCAAAGCCAGGTAAACTTTAAAAAGTTGGGGTGGATCTTTAACTTGAAGTTTATGTTACACAAGCAAAGCTGTCAATTTCCCTGGAAAATGCTCTGCAGATAACAACTTTTCATTGTCATA